TAAGTAGTTATAAATGGTTGTTTAATTAGAACCTCGTGGAATATCGCGTCGAGTTTTCCAGTATTGAACATTAGACGTTGGAATGGTTCTAATTAAGTAGTTAAATGTGATTGTTTATTTTAACACTAGCAACAGCATTATGCTAAAATAAAACAATAACATAAAGCATCGTTGTAGCAACAGCATTTAAACTTAGACTTAGTAGCAAGTTTTGAGCATTCATGATTAAAGTCGAAAAATATCTTTAACTTAATGTGATCGCACGTCATATAAGACATTCATACATTAATCAATCGGTACTATCAAAATATACTCAATTGCATTAATATTTTGATTCATATGTCAAATTTATTGCCAAAAAATCCCTTTCATATGTTTCACTTGGTCGCGATATTATACTTTCATGGAATTTGTTTGTTTTTAAATTATAATTGTTATGCAAACCTCAAACTTAATTTAGTACCAACGTTGACAATAGTGATTTAACACGAGCTTCTCCGCTACATAATGCGATCTCTTAATAATGTTCTTTATAACTTTTGTAACGTGTAACGTTCTTCATAACGTTTTTTGTAACTTTATCTATATTGTTTCTAATATTCTATATTTTTGATATTCCATTTTTCCTGTACTTGCATGCAGTTATGTAGTTACGTCAAGCTTAGTTTACAATTTAACGCGCGATTTAAAGACCAGGCAATTCTTCCTCCATTGTCGCTATTCTTCACTCATTTAACTTGGCGTTAGGATGAAATTATTATTATTTTTGTGGAGTAGTAGCGAACCCGGTGGAAGTATAGTAGCTACTTTGAAACTATCGTCATTCATGAAAAGATCCGGTCAAATTTAACGATATTAGATCTTCTGTGAACAAGGCACGAAAAGGAAAAGAATCGGCGAAAGGCCACATCAGGCCTACACTTCAGCGCCGAGATCAATATGTTATGTTATGAATAAAAGAGGGTTGTGATGAAACCATGTGCTTTATTGTCAAGTTTTGGAGCATACATGGAACATAGCGGCGATAAGAGAACTTAATTTCATATAATTATTAATAACTAAAACCTAATTTCCATTAATTGAACCTGTGAGCGTTCATGTTTTTGTCAGTCTAAAGTGGACTTTAATTTTTTGAGTAAGTTCATACAGTTTTTAGCAGTTTAAAGTGGACATTAAACTTATAAACTTTGTATCCATAACGAAATTATCGAAGGAAATGAGACGCGGTTTCTTTTAGTATCGAGAACGCATATTTTATTTCATTGTAACGAAATAATATATGCGTTAAGTAATTGTCTCTGTCAGGACAAGTACGCAACGGAAATATACAGTAGTTTTTCAACTGAATCTAACTTTAATCAATCACACATTGGTAAATTACTTAATATAGTGATGAGAATTGCCACTCGTTATACAGTAGTTTAAAAACTGAATTCCTATTTTAATCATTCACACATTGGTAAATTACTGGATGTTATGATGAGAATTACCACTCGTTGTACTCAGAGCTACAATAGAGACACCAAAACAGTTACGAACGAAAATCCTTAAAATAAATCACGAATACGAGCACATAAATAGTTTAAAAACTGATTTCTAACTTTTCTCAATCACACTGGGTAAATTACTCAATATTGTGATGAGAATTGCCACTCGTTGTACTCAGAGCTACAATAGTCACCAAAACAGTTATGAACGAAAATCCTTAAAATAAATCACGAATACGAGTACATAAATGATATTACTTACTACATTTGGTAGGATGACTTAATTAATCTATAATACTTCTACACGATTATCAATTGGGACATAGCATACACGTTCGCTTATTCTGAGGTTGACACATAACATTTATCTCTCAAAGTTTGACACTTACCATGTATACGTCAACGTTACTTAAAGCTATATTCCTTAATAAGTTTCAGTTTCGGAAGAGGCTCCTGAGTCCATCCCTTCACTCACAGTTAGGTACACGCTGGCTGGCTTTTGAGAAATGACACTTTCGAACTTGGTTTTGATTAATCAAGTTGGAACTAATACAATTTCCTTGACTGATACTACCTTGATAAAGATTAATTTCACATTTTCTGGCAGAATACATCTCAATTAGTGTTTAAAACTGATTCGTAAAACGTCCATGTAGTAACTCGTCTTACTGTGTGTAATTACTTAGAATGGTCGCAAAAGCCAGTGTTGCCAGGTTTTTTCTCGGCGAGAAAACCAGAATGCCTAGCTCAAAATACCAGAAATATACCAGAAATTCTATTGTTCAGAAACAGACTAGCCTATTACCTCCAAATTTGATGAAGTTATTCGTCAGAAACGTTGTTTATAAGAAGAAAAAAATTCATCATATGTACTGTGCATTTATCTAGCTTGAAGATAATTAGCCAAATTGAACACGTTATATTTTTTCCCTCTGTTTGGAACATTTTGACACTTTTCTTTTCCTTGTGTTTGATTACATTGTCACTTTTTCCTTTTTTTATCACAGTGTCGCCCTTCTCTCTCTTCGCTCAACATGAGCAAGCCACGGAAACGGGTCATCTTCCTTTTGCTTATTTTCGTACATGCTTGCATATTGCATTTATCTAACATTTTGGGTTTGATCACTTGTTCCGGCTGAGCAGATAGCTTTTGGACCGAATAAGGGACTCCAGTACCTTGTTGAAATTTCATTTTGTTGCTTGTTTTTCACATGGTGACTTGTGAAAACACTCGCTAAACGAATGTCTTGGAGACAGGTCAAAATAGACAATAGATGCAGTAGGTAGCCAGTACTATGAATAGATGAAGATTTATAAGATTAGGGAAATATTGAATGGCACACCAGAATTCAAGTGGCACTCCAATAAGTGGCACACTAGAATTCAAAACCACCAAACAAAAATTTTGGAGCTTGCGTAGCGAGGTCGGTTCGACATCCTCATTCGTCCTAGGTCATATCATCGCTGATCAGGAATCAATCAATGATCATCACTCTCGTGCTTATATTGCACTAATCACTTATGTTAAATGTTAACAATTAGATTGGGGTTATTTCATCGAGCGGTAAACTTGCTGTACCAAAAATGGTTGGAAACCTCTAGTCGCGCCGCTCTGAAGGTAATCTATATAATCCACGCCAACGCTGGAGGAAGTTCAAACTTCAGAGGTGGAACTTAATTAATGCAGTAAATTTGCAGCAAGTCAGAAAATACCAGAAAAATACCAGATTTAGGCAAATATACCATATCTGAAATATTCATACCAGACACCTTCTGAAAATACCAGATTTGCGAAATCTGGTATAGAAATATACCATCTGGCAACGCTGGCAAAAGCCAGCCGTGTGTTGTCTAACTCCGTCTCCCACGGCAGCAAGTTAGGAAGAAGTGTACGACAACTGTACACAAAGAGCCGCTTCCGATGCTGACGTATGATTCAATTAATAATAATACATTTATTTAAACTCTTGTTGTACAACAACGCCTACGATGGATTTACACAGATTTACACGCAATGTAAGTGTAAGGACATTCATGTCAATAACATATTTATATTCGTCCACGGAGTTCATTAAAGAACGTTCCCATAATTACCTACAAGTTGGGAGTCTGTTTCAACTTTCAACGCTATTACACGTGCAAACTGATTTGCTTTTCTCACAGGTAAGTTTTACATGTTTATATTTCCTAACAATAGATACCAGAGCCAATTCTTTTCGTTTGAAAACTTTCCTCATTCAGCCGTGGAGAACTATATTAGGATTCGCTTAAGAGTCAGAATAAATATAAAAAAATTAAGCTTGAAACAATTTCCGTTAAATATTTTACTATAATTGACGTCGTTGACCAGGGAAAAACGACTGTGAATACTGAAACAAATGACCGAGGTTATCCGTATTGAGTTTGTCAGTCAATGGTTTCCGGGTGAAGGCATCCTTTGCTATAGACTTTACCACAAAATGTCCTTGTTTGCGAGCAATAAATATCGATACGCAACCATTGTTAGAATTGTGGGTCAGTTAAGGATTGCGCACAGAAGTTAGTTCAAACTAGAGTGTGCAATATAAGGGAGAAATGCACCGTGAAGTGATGTTCATTTAATTCGTTCATATCTGTCGATGTAAAAATCTATTCCACGTTTTTTAGAAAATGAATCGCATGCGGACTTGGAATTAAAACAGATATTGACATATTGTACAGGCATTTTCTGGCCCTTGTGGAATCGCAGTTCTACTATAGCGAACCTTATTATTTGTCTAACGATACATTGCAAGCCATTTAGTGTTACATCTGAATTGATATTACACATCTATTAAATCTCTAGAATCATAAATTAGCTTCAGTGAGTACAGAATTTTAGGAGTTTGTGCCATTCTTTCGCATCCTACATCAGATGCAATTAATCTCACTTTTAAAATTTATCGTATATATGCGAATAATAAAATGTCTTAACGATATAAATATTCTTCTTATGCACTTAGCAAGAATTTGGTATCGTTTTATATCACACAAATTATTAATATACACTTGAAATATACACTATATATATACCGCTCGGCAAGGAGAACACAAAGTACGCATCGATAGTTTAACTCCTCTTATCTGATAGCGAGAAAATTTATCAAATAATTTATTCGTTGCATCGAATTCAATATCATTATTGCATTTATAAATTAACGATAACACATTAGTTTTTTTCTCTCATACACATGCAGATTATCTTGAGTGAAAGACCAGCAGAAAACACTGAGGTGGAGAAGACTTTTTTGCACGCAGCAATCATTTAACACATCATCGGTTTAAATGATGTGGTGATATCCCAGATGAACGTACAGTCATCATCACTGTACGATTTGATAAATATATATAATCAATGAAATTGTACAGATTTATTGTGACAGTGTTATCTCGTAAGATTTTTTTAAGCGGCGACAGAAGTTGCGAAACTTATTAAGTCAGTGCATGAATTATTTGGATGGAAGATTTCAATGACACATATACAGCTCTTCTTCAGATTTAATTTGCATCCTCACATCTTGACTTACTTCTTAAATTGAAATATTGACACCAGTAAATGTGAAACTCTATGAATCGACACCGACACTTAGCACAGCAGTATTGCGAAATATCATACAAAGAAATACGGTCAACAATGAAGTCGGTTTAATTGGGTTATAAACTTGGAGGTTGAATGTCCCGTGAGTAATATTATCTTACGGCAGAATTAAAATTCCTTTTGAAGCCTTTGGCCCAACGAAAAATTTTTCCGTGCTGGAAAATATTACTGCAATCGTGCCGAGCAAATAAAATGTGTGAGATCTTTTTAAACATCGATAAAAGACATAATATAATACAGAGAATATTTTCCCTCATTGGGAGCAAGTTAATACAGAAATACGTTACTTTACCAGACATGGGAAGAATATCAGTAATGAAATAAACTGATTTAATTATTATTCCATCATTCATGAACTTTAATCTTATTACAAAGATTGCAATTTGCAATTTCGTTACGATTAAAATTTCGATAAATTGACAGCTCATACGAAGTCTGTCGGGTGTCTAAGTATACAACATCGGGTTAGAGTATTTCGAAAAGCATGCCTAAAATCAGCTCTTACATAAGCGTAAATAAAAGGATTTAACGTAGAATTGAAATATCCGATCCAAAAAACCACAGTCACCACTTCTGGTGGACAGAAGCATTTGGGACCGCACACGTTCGTGCTAACATACCAGGTAAAAAATGGAAGCCAACACATGACAAAAGCGCCCATGATGAGGCCTAGGGTCCTGGCAGCTTTGTGTTCTCTTTTTCCAGCAGAATTTGCTGCTGCACTTGATGAGGAAGACGCGTTTCTTTTGGGAGTGGCGACCATTCCAGGCCATAAAACTGGAGTTGACGAGGCAGTGCTATTAGTTCCTCTTCGGCTGTTGGTTCGGCCACTGTCTCCTCCGGTTCTGCAACTTGAGGACGTGGCTGAGTTGCGGCCTGGAGATTCCGTTAAACTTTTCATAATGAATTCCTGGTGGGTGGGCGTAGCTGCCAACGGAACCCCTTGTAAGGCCGCCAGCAGCATGTGCTTTGGGTCGGCAGGAGTACCGTTAAGTCGAGCAGCTGCTGAACTCGCTGATGAAGAAGCTCGGGTTAACATTGCCCGTTCTTGCTTGCGTGCTTCTTGGAAAATCCTAAAGTACATAACAGCCATCACCGCGCATGGCAGCCAGAACGAAAATGTCGAAGACATGACAGCGTAAACTGCATTGACTTTGAAAGTACATCGGGTTGGATTCATTAGAAGTTCCTTGAGGTGATCCTCTGTAGTGTACCATCCCAAGAAGATAGGAACAAATGATATGAGCGTTGGTGCGAGCCATGCTTGGCAAAGCATGTACGACAACATGTTGTTAGTCATCGTCTGCGGATACTCTAGAGGCCTTACGATCGCGTAATATCGATCAACGCTTATACTACACAAATGCATTATAGAGACAGTTGAAAAATATACATCGAACGAGTTCCAAACGTCGCACATGATGTACCCGAAGTGCCACGTACCACCAGAGAGTTCGACCGACAAGTTGAAAGTCATTGCACACAACGCCACCAACAAGTCGGCGGTGGCTAATGAAACTAATAAATAATTTGCTGGGCAATGAAGACGGCGGTGAATTGATATACTCACAATAACTAAACTGTTACCCAGAACTGCTACTGTTATTATCAGAATCATTACTATAACCTTAGTTATAAATAAACTTGTTGACGAGGTAATATTAGCTGAGGCAAGGGAAGAATTGTTTACGCTGACGTCATTGTCGAAGTATCCTGGTAAAATATCGACTTCTGTGTTTGTGTCATGACGGTAGGTGAGATTTTCATCAATCCAGAGTAATGATTCATTCATGTTTTTATAATGAGAGTGAAACTCAGTTTCACTAGAGTTCTTATTAAATCTATATGAGAATGCCGAAATTTCTGTGGTTGCATCAAAGTTAAAAATGGGTTTCGCAATAAGTTTTTCTGTAATTGGTGTATATATGTCATTAATATTTGATTCCTCTTCATGTTTAATAATCATTGATTCCAAAGTAGCCACCATTGCCGACGTTGTCTTTGCGAACGCGATATTTTGTGTGTTGTTTTGGGTCATCGAATCTGGTTTCGTTGGTTCAACATTTCTCGAAAATGATGTTAATGTGTCTCTTTTCCCTTTGTTGAAAGTTCGGTTCAAACCATCAACTGGGCGCGAAAGAAGTTCTTGCAAATTGTCTACCGTATGGCTGCTTGTTAATTGTGAATTTTTCCTCAGAGAAAGTATTTCTTTGAGAGCCATGAGAGCATTAGGATGCGAAGGCGGCTGGCGAGCCAAGCACAATTCATGCGCTGGAAAACTCAAAAAGAAGAACATGATGACCGAGGACAGCGCACAACCACAAGAGGAGAGTGGACAGCAGGAAGACGTCGCAGAATGGCCGCGTCCACGCTGGAACATGGCAGCGTGCCGCCGTTACAACACCTGAAAATATACAAATGTGTTAATTTGATGAGTATTTAACTGGCTTAATATTATTTAACTATTTTTAGCGCATTTTCTCATTTATGGAATAAATGCACTATTGTGCTCGCCATGTCCGTCTGTTTGTCTGTCCGTGACCTCAAGTTTTCGTCGACGAGAAAATGCGCTCTCTGTCGCTCACTGCAGTGAGCATTGATCTAATTTCTTTAAGTTTACCGCCAAATGAAGATAAGTTTGGGGGTGACAAATTGGTTAAGATCGTCATAATTAGAGCAGAGAAACCGGTTTTATTTGAATGGTTAACGGCACAATTTGACGTTGATTATATGACTGTGACAAAATGTTCTTGGGAAATATTCATATTTTTCATTTCACTTTAATCATGATTGACTTTAATTATCTCAAGTAACAAGAGTAACAAATATATAAGATCATTTCCATTCAAAAATTTTGCTTCGTAAACCAAGTGTACAGGAATTCAATATTTTTACTCAATATCTGTTTTTATTTTGCCTGCCCCTAGCGCTAAGTTAATGAACTGCCTCATGATGCAGCTATCAGCACAGCTGCCAGTCAACCATATAGAGAGCTGCCATATATATTGATATTTCTATTTATGATATTGATGATATTTTCACGTGTTTATCGTCTCCCAAACCATACATATTGACCTAAACTCAAGGCCTGGTGCACGCCACTGAATAATGATGAACGATGGAGTCCAGCCAGCTGCTGCTGTCTCATTTTTCTTCCAATAGTGGAAGGATGTTACAATGACAGTGAAGCGGAAAATGCTACGTCTTTTATATATTTCAAATAAAATACAAGGGAGATAAATTTTTTATACGATTAATGCTCAGAAGACTTAATATATCTCATAAATATTTTGATGATCAAGAGGGAAGCAGGCTTTAGTTGCCATGACTAAAATTCAATTACACTTAATCATATGAATTCATTATTTATGCAATTTTCGAGAAAAATTATGCGTCATGATGATTATTTATACTGACAAGACTCCTCTTTCTTTTATTCTGACATAATATTCAACCTGATTTCTTTCATGAAGAAGAAGATGTAATATTTTAGTCCCGACTCTTGTCTGTTTTCAGACCCACTTATCGGTATATTGAGTAAATGAATTTCTCGTCCAATTTTTGGTAGAGGTGTAGATATTTTTACATCATCCCCAAAAACTTGAAAACATGTGTTAGATTTTTGGCCACCATATAACATCCGTTACATGAATTGAAAAAATTTCAAATTTTTCGTGTTGTTTTATCATCTTAAATGATCGCTGCATGATGCTATGATGGTTTCAAAGACAACCACACTGATATAAAGCCACCATTAATAAATTTATTGATTTTTTTGTTTCTACAATCCTACTTATAAATATGATGTTTAATAGTACTACTTCAATATATGGTAATATAACTGCATTTAGAACAGATCCCGATAAATTATTTTTCACCTATTCATGAGACTCTATACTTTTTATAATAATTCGCCCCACCACAATACTGGAACTAATTTACCAGATTCTCAAACCTTTTTTGCAATCCACTTTCCCTTTTATGTCCCACACACCAATTGCAAGTCTTTAAAGTCACCTTCCAACTTTCGAAGCTTTAAAAAAACAATTGCCAACTCGGCCTAAACGGCCATTGTTTGCAACGCAACTTTGTTTGATTTTAAAGTAACTGACAACAAATTCTAAAGGCAGTAATTTGTTGAATTCAATTTAGATTTTTTCCTAATTCCTATCCTAAATCTTAAGCAATAATTATGGACAACCCTCGCAGAACCTCGTAACAAGTAAATTAAAAGAACGAAAGATTAAAAAAAAGTATATTTATTGAAAGATAAATCATTTCATTTGCATTTTGCATGCATTGTAAATTGATTTAATTTCCCGAAGACTTCATCCTTCATTTCATGTGTGATGCTCAAATTTACACCGTCAGCTATAAAAAGAAATTAGTTCGATGGGAATTTATTCAGCACCTTGACTTTAATACAGCTCCTGAAAATTTAATGTTTATCATCGGACATTCTTAATTGTACCGGCGAGAACGAAATTTTCCAAATCCATACTCCCGATATTTTGTGAGTACACCTAATATTTGTGCTTCTAATTAATATAAAGATATTACTTTGTAATTAGCCTTGTTATGATATAATTAATGTGCAGTCAGTATATCTAATATAAGAATTAAAATTCATGCGAGAATAATTACCATCCGATGTATCATTGATGATATAGATCATTATTTCAATATTTCGCCCACTATATCAATGGTGCATGTGATTGCAGGCCTTATGAACTGATTAGGGAATCCGCTTACTACGGTCGATCAAATGTTAATAATAAATTACAATGGCGCTCTGACCAGCAGAACAGTACATGTACTACACCATCGCTCTGACCAGCAGAACAGTACATGTACTACACCATCTCTCTGATAGTGTAGTACATGTAGCACAATAACAGCACATGTACTACACCATCTCTGACCAGCACAACAGCACATGTACTACAACATCGCTCTGAAGGTGGTGTAGTACATGTAGCACAATAACAGCACAAGTGATACATCTTTACACACGGTAAGAGGCAGGCAGTCTACAATTTACACGTGCGCTTGGAGAAGAGAAGAACGTTTGACCGAAAGTTCGCCCAACCTANGAAACGACAGGATAATTTCAGTCGTCACTTTATTATCAGGGGGCATTCTTTCCAAAGTCAGTGATTTCTAACACATTAAATTATTCCCAATTCAATTATTTATACTTTTTCTATAATTTTCACAGAAATATTAAATAAAAATTAAAAATTTTTAATTTAAGGCAAATTTTTTCTTGTGCTTATGAAATGGTATTCATACATGTACTTTAGATCGAATTTCGAAGCGGCATCCATTAAAATGAGAACATTTCTAAATAGTTTAATTCGAGCAACATTATTGGGATAATTTCGATACTTATTGCCTCTTTCTATTCAATTTTTTCCGGTAAGCGACGTCAATTTATAAATATTCATCACCAAAATAGAAAAGTTTCTATATCAACGGTAATTTTAAGCCCGAGAGCTTGAATTTCAATAAGCTGACTGCCTTTGATGGGATTAAATCATCATTAAATTAAATATTACCCACCGCGGCTTCTAACGACTGGCACAAAGCAACAATTTTCGAGCCGTTCGCTTTGCAGAGCCAGAATTGATCGTGGAAAGCAAAGCTCTTGTTAATTCACTTATAACGCCTACTTCAGGCTCGTTAATATTAATTCACTTATAACGCCCACTTCAGGCTCGTTAATATTAATTCACTTATAACGTCCACTTCAGGCTCGTTAATATTAATTCATTTATAACGCCCACTTCAGGCTCGTTAATATTAATTCATTTATAACGCCCACTTCAGGCTCGTTAATATCAATTCACTTATAACGTCCACTTCAGGCTCGTTAATAGCCATAAAAGAGGAGTGCAGTGGCGGATTTGAATTATTTGTGACGAAAAAAGTTTTACAATAGAAAAAAAAAATTTACACGAATATTGGAAATTTTCGAAAAAGCGTAAAATTTATAATAGGCAAGAACGAGATTTATTTATTTATTTATATATTGAATTAAGTCAACATTCTTTTGAAAAAATTAAAAATAGCAAGTAAATCTGAATTAGGAAGCGTATTCATGAAAGTAGGCAATAAATTTTTGTCTACTAATCTAAGAGAAATGATTGGTTACGCAAGCCTGTTAGTTTCAGTGCTCCCATTTATCAATTAAAGCTAAGATTAGAGCCAGTATTGTACTCTAGCACAGAAACAAGTACAGTCACCGTGCGCCGTACTCCAGCACAATAACAAGTACAGTCACCCTGCGCGGTACTCCAGCACAATAACAAGTACAGTCACCGTGCGCCGTACTCCAGCACAATAACAAGTACAGTCACCGTGCGCTGTACTCCAGCACAATAACAAGTACAGTCACAGTGCGCCGTACTCTAGCACAATAACAAGTACAGTCACCGTGCAAGCTCAACAATAAGAAGAGTTCCGGACAGTCCCCTGCCATTAGTCTGATACGGGCGGAGTATACTCAATGGATCAAAGGGCTTTACGTCAAGAGAATAGTTGGTTACGGAATTGCGTCCAAGTCCGGTCATTTATATCGATATATCTGCGTCCGCAACGTGGAAGATGGGATATTTTGATCAATAAAGTTACCCCTACACTGCCGCCCAACTGGAGGAAAAGAAGGGATGTTTTGATCAATAAAGTTACCCCTACACTGCCGCCCAACTGGAGGAAAAGAAGGGATGTTTTGAGCAATAAAGTTACCCCTACACTGCCGCCCAACTGGAGGAAAAGAAGGGATGTTTTGAG